TGTTTGTCTACGCCATTTTATTTTAAAAAAAATAATTTATAAGAAATATATAAATATTTAAGTTTCACAATTATGTTTAATTGCATTAAAACGCACACATCACTCATTACTGGCAATAATATTCACATCCGCCCATATCCCTCCCCTTCCGCTTCCTATAAAGCACGAAGAAATGAAGATTGAGCACTTTCTCAACGCTCGCAACGCATGAATAAAACCTTCAATCACCACAGCGCTGTGGTGAATTCGCTAGTTTTATTAAGCTCAAAATTAATAGCAAAGTGTTGTGGGAAAAGACCAGTGACCGCCGTTCAAACTGAGATATCGAAGGACAACTCCAACTCCAGCTTCCAGGTACCTAACTTTTCCTACAATGTTTATACTGTAAAGAAGGGATTATTTTGTTAGTTGAAAATTTTGGTCTATAGTTCACTATATGTTTAATTCGAGACAGATTTTCGAACCCTTTCCAGCGTTCATGGTCACGGGAAACGTCGGGAGTTCAAAGCAAAATAAAAAACGCGATAAAATCCGTAAACTAGGTTCATTTAATATGTATAATATTCGCGTAAAACCAGGAAACAATATGTAAAAATTATGATTAATAATACGTTATTAAAAAGCTTTCCTTGCAAAACAAAAAGCCCCTTGACGGCCGCGTCCAGTAAATTATCCGGCGCATTGGCTCTTTAATCAATCACGTTGTATTTAAGAAGCCAAAATATTACGGGTCGTATAAATAGCGATACGTTTAAAACATTTTGTATTTAAGAAAGACCCATCTCGTTATTATGATTAATATAATACGAAAGCTGTCTGAAACACGTAATTTACACAATAACAAGTATTTGCGAAACCATATCCGAAATTAACATTTTGAGATCATTCAAAGTATTGTTCCAGTCGGGAGTTGATTCGACTCCCAACTGTATTCAAACGAAGTAACTGCGCCAGCCGAGTAATCAAAAATCTATCTTATAAGTAAATAACCAGTCAGGAACAAGTGCTTAAAGGGAATAGTTAAGTACCAAAATTAACAATTATATGTTTGTTGACACCGGGGTTTTACGTACTAGTTTCGGTGTAATTGGTTTAAAAACTGATGCTACGGTGCCGGTACGTATAAGGATGTGGAATAACAAATCAAGTCATTGAAACTCAGGTACTTTTTTTCTTTTTTTAGCATTTATTTGTTGTAAGGACGTTTTTACAAACATAAATTTCCCGCGGTCAAACACCCAGATACGAAGAACTACCTGTGGGTCACAAATAGTTGTCCCGTGTGGGGATCGCACCCACGACCCTCGATGCCGAAGCCAATACCTTGGCAACTGCGCCACGGAGTCATCAAATTAGAGTATAATTAGCAGAGCGAGCGATTTCGCGGTGTAGCGGAATAGCGCACTAGCGGTTCTATGTTTTATAATACAGACTCAATAGTACGCTACATAACATTTTTTTAATGTCTACTTGAATTAATAGAACTTTTTAATACGATTTAATTTTCCATAAAATCAGACTTCAAAGTTAGCCATGTAAGAGTGAATTAGAATAAAATGTATTACGTGCACGGCCGTTCACGCGTTTTCAATTCGTTTCATTCAATTCATTTCACACTCCAAGCTTTGGCGATTCTTTGGAAATATTCAAAGTTTTGAACTATGGGCGATATATCACGCCAACAACGCTAACTTAACCCAAAGCAGTTTTAATTTGGCACAGTAAGCAGTACGCTCTTCTTCTTCTTTACGTGTTGATGACAAATCATATCTTCCCAGCCCTGAACTTAGCCACTTCAACAGCACAATTTGTGGCATCCATCAGATCCTGCTGCGAACAGGTGAGAGGGCAGGCAGGACAAGACATCAGATGGGCCATGGACTGCACTGCTCCACACATACAGTCCATGTCTGAGATTTCTGAGAGTCCCCACCCGAACATATTTTCCTTGCTTCGGCCAACCTGAGTCCGAAGTCTATTTAAAGACTTCCATTTTGGCCAAGGTAGTCTATGACCAGCCGAAAGCTCTCAGAAAGCGAGACAAAGGGATCTGGAAGCAGAGTTTGAGCACGTAGTACGCTCTTTTCTGTATTGTACAAATAGATTTAATAACTTATCACTTACAATAAACTCACATTCTTGTGCTATATCGGGGAAACAGCATCATACTGAGTACATAAATAATAGGTGGACAATACGCCATCGACCCACCAATGCAGTGGGTGGATGAGTGGCATTGCCTCACCTCGGCGAACTTAGTCACAGTATTGAGAAACACTAGCACCTTCCCAGGAGTGTCCGGAGCTCTCATAACCGTTACATCTACAAGCCATTAGATATGACCAAATCTAGCATAACTGTCTTACCCCGGGAGAAAATTTTCCCCAATTCTCAAAGAAACTGTCCGTTTCTTCACTTGGCTTGTTTATATAATAAATAGCACCCGGAGGACCGAGCTTTGCTCGGTTTGTTTTTTTTTTTTGGTAAATCGTGTATTTTGGAAATTACATTTAGATACAAATTACTGAGTAATGAAATATGCATAATATTTTTCGATCTTACCGACGTAATAATAAGAAAATATGAACTGATGTTTTTCACAAAAGAAAGAACTTTAAAAAAAAAAAGGGAAAAAAATAACAAATCGACAAAAAATTAAAAATAAAGAAAGCAATGATCTGGAATCGAAAAAAAAAAAATAAATGTGTAAATGATCGTGACGCGAACCACGGCCGTCTGTTTTGGGGCCGCCCGATTACCGACCGAGCTATTTTGACATTTTCTCTTGCGGCGAAATTTACCGTCATATTCGAATTACATTTTTCATTCCCTGAAAACAGGGATAAAGGGACATTTTCTAAAAATGAAACCTAGCTAGATCGATTTTTCGCCCCCGAATCTATGCACATACTAAATTTCATGAAAATCGCTGGTGCCGTTTCCGAGATTCCGATTATATATATACAAGAATTGCTCGTTTAAAGGATAAGATATTTTCTACACCAAATTTAAAAACAATATTTATAAGAGTTCTAACGATTTTACCTTGATCCTAATATTTTAACTATTACTGAACGTGAATATTAACAACTATTATAACGTCAAGCAGCACTAGTGGTTATATAACCGTCTGGGAACGCGGCCGAAATCCAAGTGACCACCGCTCCATGCGACCATGTGTCCCTTGGCTTGAGTAGATAACGTCATATACAGTGTATACCATACAGTGTTACTAGCGCCAACATATTTGAGTAAGATTGGAGAAGAAAATATTCGCAAAGATTTTGTTTTGAAAAATGGATGTTATTATTATGTTGTCATAGTTTTTCGTGTGCACGTGGTAATTACTTTAAAATAATACAAATGACTCAAATAAATGAGTTCATATCTTCAATCTAATCTGACGGTGGAAGCCATTTAGTCACCTAGTGAAACTCTTGATGTAGGTAACGAAGACTTTGATAGCAAAAATCTTTCATATGTTTATGTCCATCATTATCGTCACTTATAAATCAGATAACAAACGGTGTCAGAACGATAGCGATATTATAAATGACGTATCTCCTGTTTCCCTTCCCTGCTATAAATCAAACTGAGTCCAATTTTTTTTGGGTTACAAGCTGCGTCTGGATTTATGGCTTGTGATTCTCTTCGATTAAAAGCTATTTACTACGTGCTTTAATCGGCGCATTTTAGTACAGCGATAAAATGATCCGCTTTCAAGATAGTGTTAGTTATGGCTTTTACTCGTATAGTTGAGTATTTTGTAGTATGTTTTTGCTTAAGAGTAAACAAGTACATGTCCCACTGCTGGGCAAAAGGCCTTCTCTATACAGATGTTAGATCACCTCTATGTAGAGAATTTTTGTTTACTTTAATAAAATTCAAATTTAATTCTTTTATTCAACATACGAAGACCTGAGAAGAACTGGTGAAAGAAATTCAGCGGAAACATATTTACAATTTATTAACACAATTTATTTTATTTGAAAGAACCTGGAGCGATCAAATCATTTCCAGATTGTGTAATCATTTAAATCATCACTAATATTATAGTAGCCTTTAACACACAAACACACACTTTCAAGATTTTGTTGTAAAAACTTATATATTGTCCAATAATCGAATAATGTAAATTAAATCTACTACTAATACTATCAACATATTTAACCGTCAACGAAAGAAATTATTCTCTTAATAAAGTAAAACGTTATAATTCATTTTCGCTAGGAATCAATTAATTGGTGATCGTGTTCCCATCGCTACTTTTCTAATAATCCGAGAATGGCATGTCCCTACTTTCAATAATCTATGGTTTTAAATAAGTGTCACTCACGGACATTTCGTCAATACCGAATTATATCATTAAGTATCGTGTGTTCGAGTTTTGAGTGTAATATTATAAGTGCCTTTATTGATAAATTCATCCTACTTTATCTACGCACATCTGATCATGTTCAACTTATATGACCTATGCTTACATATCAAACACACGAATCTCTCAATTCAAATCTCAAGTTAACAAAATGTCTTTTAGCTCTGCTCTCACAAATAGCTAAATTTTGTAGAACTTAAACGTTTGGTTAGATAAAACATAAACTATTAATTGACACTTACATTTGACGTTGCTTGAACCAAGTTAAAAGCCGATATAACTAATCGAATCCTCCTCGTCAATAACCGAATTAGGTATATGAAATTAACAAAAAAATACCGACTGAAAACCGGAGACTAAAAAACATTGTTAACCTGTAACATTTTAGGGATGCCCTCGATTTCTCTGGGATGCCATCATCAGATCCGAGTTTCCTTCCCTTGAGATATCTCCTTTCCAACAAAAAAAGAATCATCAAAATCGGATCATAAACGACGAAGTTATCGGCGAACACACAAAAAAAATATATAGGGTCGAATTGAGAAACCTCCTTTTTTAAAGCCGGTTAAGAACCTCCTTCTTTTTTAAAGTCGGTTAATAATGTCTCCGTTGCATGTGGATGCAAATGGCAAAGTGTCGTGGCGTTCTAAGGGGGAGGCCTGTGTTCAACAATGGAACTCTTGCGGCTGATGATGATGATATAATTATATGCAACGAAGACATGGTGTACCTCGTCATCATCATGACCGTTTCCACATGTCTCACAGATTTTCCTTCCTTCAGAGTGCTAAGGGAACCGCTAGTCCATGGCAAATGTGTGAATGCGAGCGTTGTCGTGTACATAATGAACTCTATTAGTTCCAGCTCCAGTTCATCAGCTGGAAATAACGCACGAACGCTCGGAAGCATAATGACCTTCCGCTAAGGACGGAGCAAATTTCCGAATCCGGAAGACGTGGGTCCCGTGGATTCGATTACCGCAGTGCAAGTGGCGAAAACTTTTCGACTGTTTTATCAACAAATTTAAATGTCTCGTCTTAAGTATAGAGATCAGCACAACAAAAATTTTAATTTCAAATAGCATTGGCGACATCTTTCGGTCGAATTATTACAACGACATTGAAAATTGTTTGTGTGTCGTAAAGAAAACAATAGATGCACCAAGCAATAACCAAGCTTAACATAAAAATGTAGATAAATTTAAAATATATAATTTATTTCAAGTATTTTTTATAATTCTTCGTACCTTATAAGTTAATAAAATTCTGTTCGTGTGTCACCAATGATTTTCTAAGGAACGGTTGGACCAAACAAGTTGAAAATGCCAGATACTGAAGTCTATATAGCCCCCATTAGGAATTATAAATCAATGAACTGAGTCGACACGATAAAAACATATAATAAGGTACATACCTAAATTTACTTTCATTTTCAATTTTTTTTATTTTTCGGAATTTTCCGTTTGCTTGTGCTATAAGACCTACCTTTTAAGCAAAATTGACAATTCTAGGTCAACCGGAAGTATCCAATAGGTTTTGGGTGGAAAATTAACATGGTAGTTCAGGTTGACCTATAATCACGAAATTTGGCAAAAAGACAAACTTTAACAATAAAAAAAAAAACATATTTGTTTTGAAATTTGTAACGAGAAGGCCATTGACATGGTTTTATGTTGACATTAAATAGGACTATAGGTCAAAGGTGTATGTTAAATTGACCACAAGGGTCGCATACGCAGTTGCCTGGATTTTGCTTTAGCTTCAAAAGGTTTAAATCGTTTAGTGTGCAATCACGTTTATCTTAAAATTTATAACTAATTTACATTTTTACTTTCTTAATTTTAGTTTAATAATTGACATGTTTGTCTATAAGATATTATATATAATATATAATATCGTAATATCTTTACTTGTACGTAGATAAAAACTGCTTTCCTTTTCCTACGCGACGGGCATAATGCTTTCCTAGACACTGTTTCATTCTCACAAATAATATAAGACAATTGATTATTTGGCAAATGATGTCCGTGCCGTGCGCATCTGATTTGCGCTATCGAAAAAGTGCCTAGTAATTCATACGTTCGACAACTTAATAATAGTGTTATCTCTGAGTGGTAACACGAAGAAGCAAGAAAGAAGGAAACCTATGTGCCATCATACTACGGAGTAAAGCAGGGGACAATATTTTGGTGAGCTTCCCTTGTTCCTGCCATCGTAAAATATAATTCGATTGTGCTCTTAATATTTAAAAATCGAGAAAAATACATATGTGAACTAAGCGCAAACAGTAGGTACTAAGTATTTATGACTTGATGAGGGAATAAATTTAAAGAATGACCAACGTTTTCGTAGCATGAACGTAAAAGCATCCTTCCTGAAAAATACAAGTGAATGTCAACAATACGAGTACACGTTAAAAAGATTTATCAGATAAAAGCATTGATAACCAAAACAAATTTTGTTTACCTATGATTTTTAAGTTTCTTAAGTATTCTTGCCATCCTCCGAGCTCCGAGGTACATTGCTTACTCTTCCAACGGTTAAATCGGATTAGTGCAAATGCGTCGGACATCGAGTAACCCGAACGATGGAAAATACAAATTGAACTGGAGACGCGGAACGTCATACACTTGAGAAGAAGCTTTCGCGGTATTTCTCCAGAGACAGCCACTTTTGATTAGCGTGGATTTGATCTCCGATAGAACCCAAGGGGCTATGTCATCCGAAGGAGAGTTACATTTATTTTAACAAAAATAGATATATGATAGAGCCGTGATCGCTCAGTGTCCGGGCGCTCCCCTTACGCTCCCCTTTAGTTCAATATACTCGAGCAACCTGAGTTCGATCCCCGGTGCCGGCACCAATGAAGTTTTTAACTTTAAGTGCTGACTTATCACATGCTCCGCGGTGAAGGAAAACATCGTGAGGAAACCTGCATATTTTCGAAATAATAACAAAAAAAAATATATTTCGAAGATATGTGAAGTCCGCCAAACCGCAGTGGGGCCGCGTGATGGACTATATACCTTATACCCTGATACCCTCTCTATAGAGGAGGCCTTTGCCCAGCAGTGGGACATGTATAGGCTGTTACTTTACTTACTTTACTTTAGATATATGCTTGTACAAAAAAGCGCAATGATTCTATTTGTTTAAGTATACTAACTTGAGATTAGTGTAACGTTTATTAAGAACATTTCTCTCGACAATGATGTTTCAATAAAGATTACCTAATTCCATACTGCGCGGCATTTAAAAATTGTTCCACTTTACATAACTATACGAAATTATCTATCTATGTGATTGTGACAGATAATATAGAACGTACGATGAGGAAAGAGATAACAGTATATAGAGTTGTATTTGATGCGCAAACCATAGACAAAATAGGAAGAACAGAAGAGACACCAATTGCCGTAATTTGAATGGCTCAGTTTTGGCTCGCTGGTATAATATCTACCTCATATTTATATATAATATCATTCGCTCTCAGGTTAACTGGAGTTTTCAAACACACAAACGTACGTGTTTCTTCCTTACTCATCCAGTTTTAATGAAAAAAAAAAAAAGGTGAATTGCAATTTAATATACGCCAAATGTGAATATGAGTAATTGGACAGGTGTTTATTTAAAATTGAAATCAAATGTAGGTTCATATTGAGTGCAGACAAACAAAGACAACACTACCCGTTCGACTATTCACTAGGTGGCAGGCATTGCTAAAAATGCAAAATAAAAAAATATTAAATAGCTGTCGACATTTTCGTGCCGTGAGAATATCGACCGCTTAGCTCTGTTGGCTTATATGCACATGCAATTTTTAAAACTTCTCAACAAAAAAAAAAAAAAAAAAAAACAATTTCACGTTCAGTGCAGTTACCGCTTAAAATTCATGTAGTTATAAAACACGCCTGAATTATTATTACAATTTCACATTTTCAAAATCCTTTTCGCATATGGACAAGTTCGCCGAGTTTATCGCACTAGACACATTAAGCTACGACGGACTTTAAAAGAGGTTTCACTCACAAACAGTTTTCTCCATTTACTGAAACAAACATATTTCTTCGCTAGGTTCTTTTCAACTAGAAAGCAGTTACATGTAATGAGTTCGTCCACACAGACTGAACCAATTTGCGACCGTCTAAGAAACCCAAAATAAAGAGAAGCCTAACCGTCTACTAACAAAAATTAAACTGCATGAAAAACATATAATCAGGGGACAATTAATATATAGAAATAAGTGAGAGAAATATAAATGTGGATCCAAATCGAAAAGACGATATTAAAAATGATTTTCTTCTACTCTTCTGCCCAATCATGTTTCACTACTTCATTATTGATACAGATTACAGATTACTGAAACTCAGTCCCTGTGTCTATAAGACAAGCCCCGTCCCTTTACACTTTTAAGAAGCACTTGAAAGCCCATCTCCTTTCCCTTCCTGTTTAATTTCATCTCAACGTTACTTTTTCCTCTGAGCTTTGGTTGTCAGTTTTTTTTACTTTGCTACTTTATATATTTTATAGTATAAGTATTTGTATTAGGTATTTGTTATTATATAGATATGTATTACATTTGATGATTTTATTTTTCTACATATATATTAATGTAATTATTTTTGCACTATTATAAATAAATAAATAAATAAATATTTTAGGACACATTTTTACACAACATTTTCCAGTCCCAAACTAAGCAAAGCTTGTACTATGGGTACTAGAAAACTGATAAATATACTTAAATATACTTTTCTTTTGTAAATAAATACATATTATACATATATAAACACCCAGACACTAGAAAAACACCATGTTCATCACACAATATTTTTCCAGTAGTGGGGATCGAACCCACACCCTCTGGCGCAGGAGGCAGGTACACTACCCACAACGCCATTCGGGTCGTCAAAATTATTCCGCAACTTTATTATCTAATCCTATACCCTAAGGTTGCCTGGAAGAAATTGCTACCTTAGCAATAAGGCCGCCTGTATGTACACTATCTTTCCGGTATTTTCTTCCTTGTATTTCCTTGTGTGCAATAAAGTATATTCAATCAATCAATCAATCAGATTACCATTGAAATAGGCTTGACTAAAATAATTTCACCAATTAAAGCAATATTGCAATGCCACTATTAATTATATTATTATAATTTGTAGAAAAATCTATGATGTCATATAAAAATACGACCGAAACTGAGGCGCTCGAAGTACACCAATTTGTGTAATTAGATTGCAATTATTTAGATTGCTATATCACTTCGTATTATACGCTATATATATTATCTGCCACATTCACTTAGTGTAGTTCATGTAATGTAGGTAAAGCGGAACAATTCTTAAAAGCCGCGCAGTATGGACACGCGTCATCTTTATTCAATCATCAAATGGATAAAAAACCACTGCAGCTCTTTCTATTTATTTTAATACATTAATAATGATTTTAATAAATTTGTAAAGCACTACAAGGCTTTTCTTTTCTCAACCGGCAGCACTAAATGGCCCAATAGGCCCACGCCTAGGGCGGCCACATATAAGAGGCGGCCAATCGTGACAAAAAATTCACTGGTGATAACAAGATATATGATAGGGTCTGAGAAAGGGGCGGCTGGAACTTACTATATGGGCTGGGGCCTAGGGCGGCCAAGACTACAAATCCGCCACTGAGTTAGGGTAATGCTATTATAGTAAAGTAAAGTAAAGTATCAGCCTATATATATCCCACTGCTGGGCAAAGGCCTCCTCTGTACAGAGGGTATCAGGGCATAGTCCACCACGCGGCCCCACTGCGGATTGGCGGACTTCACATATCTTCGAAATATTTTTATTTTTGGTTATTTTTTCCAAAATATGCAGGTTTCCTCACGATGTTTTCCTTCATCGCTGAGCACGTGATAATTCAGTACTTAAAATTGACA